TAACGATTATTTTTCTCAGTGTACGCGAAGAAAAAAGAATTTGCTAGCCCAGCAAATTTTATGCTGTCGCAACAAAACCTGCCAGTTATTATTTGAACAGCAAAACGATTCGTTAAGAACTACTAATTGTCATTCATCTATTACTTTGCTCTAGAACAAATTAGTAAATGTAAGAAAACGCTATATTTTGCTCTAATACCAAATCAACGCATCCTGAGGGCAAATTCATTCAGCAGAATATTTTTTTATCCTAGCAACAAAACTGTTTCCGCTCTAATTGCGAATAATTCACTAACTTGATTATGCCGACGAAATTTTATCGCTGTCGCAGCGAATATGCAGTAGCAACGGTGATTTCGCTACAGCGGCAAATTATTTTTTTCCATGTAGAGAGAGAGAGAGAGAGAGAGAGAGAGAGAGAGAGAGAGAGAGAGAGAGAAGAAATGCGAGGTGCGGAAGTGCGTAACGAAAATGCGCACGCCCCTCGTGTCTCTCTCGAGTTTCATCGTAGCGTCCAAGCGTGTCCGTAATCGTGATTAGCGCGCCCCGTCCACCGGATTCGACCGGCATTTTTAATCACACCTTCCGAGGCAGGCCCGATCTCGTTAGAACTTTCGTCGTAAAGACGGATTTGACGGGACGTCTTATAAATTTAGCACGCACTCGTGACGCTACTTTCGAAAAATCATCAAACGCCCAGGGAGAGAGAAGGCCACCACCATCGCTGTCGTCGTCGTCGCCGTCGCCGCTCGTTGGCCGATTGCGGATGCCTTCTTCACGGCCCCCGATGTAATTTTCTGAATGACTGCGTAATTAAAACTCTAATTTCCTGCGCTTAATTGACCGGAGTCTTGGTTCCCCCTTTGCTCGGTGCCTCCCGTCCCCCGCGGCCCCCGGTTCCTCTCCCTGGGCCGCCCGGCTCGCCCACCAGTCACGCCGCTCGCTTGCTCGCTCGCTCGCTCGTTCACTCGCTCGCTCGCCCCTTACGACCTCGTAAAGTAAAGACGCAAAGAAGCTGGAAGAGGTGGGTGAGACCCGATTGCCATCCCTGAGGCACCTTTCGCGGCGGTTCGGTGTGTGTACTCGAGTGCCGGAGCAGCGACGACTTGCGAATTACCTGCGCGATACGACGAGCGTGGGACGCGGATTTGGGCGAACACGCAGCTACGCAGGGAACGCGCCACTCCGGCGGAAAACGCGATTCTCTGCGGGAGGATCCGTTCGATACCCTTGAAATCTCATCGACGTCACGCCGGATGGAAAGCGCGTTGCCAGCCACCGACGGCTGGGCGACGAACTCGCGTTCCTCGCGAATATGAGATGAAAATCAAGAAGGAAACCGCCGCACGCGTACGGTTACAATTAGGAAAATAGATTTTAAATCCGCACTGAAGACGGATGTCGGCGGTAAGGGTCGACGCGAACAGCCGCGAGGGGGTTGCGCGTGACAGAGGACGGCGGTGCGAGGTGGTGGGGGGAGGGGGGAGCTGGAACTCCAATGGAAATTAATTCATTACTCTAATGCATCGAGCGAGAGAGAATGGGCCAGGCGCTGAAGCGCCAAGTATTTCGCTAAAGATGGATGTTTCGTTTTCATTTCGAAAATTAACACTTTTCACTACTTTTCGTTACTTTCCGAGCCCGTTTCGCGACTCCCCCCCGGTTCCCTCGCGTTTTCTTAGCTGGCCGCGCATGAACCTCGTCTGGAGGATAAGGATTCGTGGAAAAATTCGGCTCGGATCTTCGGGGGAGGGGAAAAAAAGTAGGTATATTTCCGTTCGTATCAGAAAGAAGATTTGACGGAAAATGAAGCGACATTACAGTTCGAAATTAATATTTTAATGACAAGGGGAATTTTCCGAACGTCAGAGCGTCTTACAAAGTGTCTTACTGTAGTTATTTAAAGTCAGTGTTGGTAAACTTTACACGGAGAAAATATTGCAGTAAAAATTGCTATAAAAGTTTGTAATGCTGGAATATATCGGAATTATTATCGAAATTAGCGTGTGACCTGTAATCTTTAGTGATGTGCACGTATAATGTACGTCACTGAAGATTACAACATACATAGTAATTTCGAGAACAATCCCGGTATATTCCAGCACTACAAACTTTTTAAAGAACTTTTACTACAATATTTCCTCTGTATGTATTAGATTTCTTCATCTATAAATAAATAAAGAAAGAAATTTCATGTAATTATTTACTTCTTCTATCCATTCTGTATATTAAATGAAAATTAACAAAATAATGTAGCATGGGGTCGGATCCGACCCCGGCTTTACCATTAGAGAGGATGAAAAATCGAATATTTGTCCTATGTTCCGCCCCTCTTGTTATTCGCGGTAAAACATCGGAAGTGTAACGTTTGAAATAATTTTCATGCGAATTCACGTTACTCCCGAAGAGCACCGACGCATTCAAAGATCTTTCGGTACCCTTTTGCGGGGCGGATTCGCAGCTAACGGTAACCCCGTTCACGGGCTCGTATTTCCATTCCGCGGCGCTTTATACGTTCCGTTTTGCGGGCGCGACTCCTTGGCCGTTGGCGATGTTCGCGAGGTGCGTAGCGCGCTCGTTAACGTATTCATGGGTTTATGGGACAATTAACCCTTTGAGGGACAGTTTAATTACAGAAGTGATTAAACATCTTAACGTACAAACTCGGTGGGCTCCGGACGACGTATATGCATTCGCAACGCGACGTGGCAGGCAAGCAGGCGGGTTGGTTGGCAGGGGCGAGAGTCGGGGGCGAGGGAGGCGAGCCAGGCAGGCTGTTACCAATTAACATACTAATGACACGAACCGCTTTTCGAGGGCCGGTGTAACCGGCCGGTCTGGGGAGCTTCGTGTCGGTGCGTACGTGTGTGCCGACACAAACGCGTGGCGGCGCGTGCACGCACACACGGGCGCGCGCCCCGCGTATATGTGTTTGTGTGTGTCTTAAGAATCGTCGCGGTTGCGGATGACGTCGCCCGACAGGATCGATCCCGTAATTGAATCGGTTGTTTTGGAAGCAACTCGCGATCTATATTCGTATACCCGACACTTAGCGTTCATTGCGGAGCTTTAATTCCCGAACCCGCCTTAATCTCGCATTCGCACGGCTCACAGGCGCTGAATTATGGGATTATGATCGCGGGAAGCGAATCTCGCGAGGCGGATATTTTAAGGCGCGCGCGGCGCAACAGTATTTATTTTGATTATAAAGCGAGATCCTCTTGCGTCTTTTACGAGACGACGTCTAATTAGGGAGTAAACATTAAGCCGCGCGCGCACGAGCAAGTGCAACCGGTGCGCGCGGTCGTCTTTTCGAGGATATTCCCGCGGAGGAGGAGGATGAGGAGCACGAGGAGTGGGAGGAGGTGAGAGCGCGCTGCACCACGGTAAAAATCTACGGACTTTTCCACGAGGAGTTTAATTAAACGTTTATCGGTGAGCAATTACGCGTCGGATCGTAGCGGCGCCCGCGCTGAAATGCCGCGACGAGGCGCGCAAGCGATTCCCGATAGTAAATCTTGCTCGACACGATTGAATTTCACGATATTGTGTATCTTTACGGTAGAGCGAGAGGTGCGGGAGCGCGCGCGCGCGAGCTCGCGCGCGGGGGGTGGACGGCGCGAGGAGGGGAGGAGGGCGAGACGAGGGGTTGAGTGCGCTAGATTTAATTAGCTGATTATAATGTTTATTTAATTAATATAATTGGCAAAGCCCCGCGAGCGTGTGTATAGACTTACACGGACGCCCCCGCGGCCATTCCGCCGGCGTTGCATTTAATGACATCCATTAACGAACATTTACATTAGCAGTAATTATTATCGCGAGGGCGACGTCAGTGCGCGCGGACCGACCGAGGAATTTTCGGGCACTCGTTAGTGGGTGTGGAGGCCGATAAAAGCGACGATTACACTCCCCACCCCCTCTCTCTCTTTCTCTGCCTCACGCCCGCGAGAGCGCGCGATTATTAACAATATTTTGTTAAACTTTCCGCGCGCGCGCTACGCCATATAAAACCCGAGCGACGCCGAAATCACTGTTTAACCGATATTCGTTACTTGATATTAATTGAGCGTTTACGCCGACGCGATGTTTGTTGTTCGATACCGCTTCCGGGCAGCAATATGCAGTGTAAATATATGCGGCGTGATAGCTGGCGGAACAAGTATTTCGGCGCCGTATTTTTCGGCATCGTCAACCCCGATGCTCCTCGCCGCACAGCAATATTGAAGCGGCGCGCATTCTTGCGTTCACGATTCTTCGTCGGTTTTTTCATCACCATAGTTACATATTAACCCTCCGTCAGTCGCAATATTCAATATCCAATAAATACCATCCTAATACTTGTCAACTTGTTTCTCGTCTGTTTTTTATACACTTCAGTGATCTATCAGCCAAATATTGATGAGAGAATAATTGCTTCCCCGGAAGGGAAATAATGAAGAAAATAATGGAAAAATTGATGCATCCGTCAGATACACCGCGACTCACGAGCGAAAAATAACACGACTAACGGAAGGGTTAATATATCTCACGGTAACACTTAGCACTGCCTTACCTTCCGCCGAGAGTCTCACGTTACGCATCTCGAGAAGTTGTCACGGCGGAGAGATCGCCATCGAATTACCGTGGCATACATAGCATAACAAATCCAAGAAACCTGCGGGTGGCTGGTGATCCGCGAGGAGGCGCACGGTGGCGCCGTGGCCACGCGCCCGTTTCGCGCACCCCGCGTGACGTGATCTCCGCTATGACGCAGGAGATCGCGCGCGCGGCACAGCGTAGCGCGCGCGCCGCAGCAACGGCGATCCCCTATATCCCGTGTATCCTTCGCCGACAGAGAGAGAAGAGAGAGAGAGGGCTGGAGGGGAACGTGAGGGAGAGCGAGATGGATGAACGGATACACACTGGCGCGCGCGTCGTGTCGGTCGCTCCCGGCGAGTGTCGCGGCGCGCGTCGCTCCTCACTTCGCGTCGAAGCGCCGCAGCGAGTGGACGCGCGCACGGATTAATTGCGGCTCGAGACAGAGAAGGAGACAGAGAGAGAAAGAGAGAGAAAGGGTAGGGGAAGGGAGGCGAACGAGCGAGAGATCGCGCCGGCAGCGCGGTGGCGCGCAGCGACACTAACGGCCGCGGGTAGGTACGCCTCAGTGCATGATTGGCGCAGCGGTGGACGGTTCTCACGGCGAGAGGAGCGCGGATTCGGCGGCGCGGATTGACGACGCGCGCGAATACATCCCGCGACGAAGTGTTCGGCGGCACGCGTGCAGCAAGCGGATCGATCGTGACCGCGGGCCTGAGTGAGTCCGGATATCGGGAATCTGGTTTCTGTGTGAAACGCTGCGAGAGCGCGGCGCAGACCTCGTGTCGATTCGCGCGGCTCCGTTACGTTGACGGCGACAACGACGAGGAGGACGGTGGTGCGGGAGACTACGGGCTTGTGCTTCATGAGTGCCCCGGACATCGCCACACTGCTCCAAAGGGACGACGACGACTACCTGTCGCGAGGATTTTCCTGCGCGGATCATCGGCTGGCGGCCCTCGCGTCGCCTTCGCATTGGTGAGTGAGGCGACGTATGTGTCGGAAGTCGTGTGTGTGCGTGCGCGCGCGTGTCGCGCGCGCAGAACAGACAGGCACGCTGCAATAATTAACGCATCTGACGATGATGATAATATAAGCGGGGAAAATAACGCCCGTGTAATTCGTGGAAGAGAGATCGCGGCAGTAAGCGATAGGCGCGAGCGATAAACGGTGATAAGTCAGTTGCGACGGACATTCGCGTGATAGAACTGCCGGGGGGCGAATATCCACAGACTAAAAAGCGTCGATCGTGTCGCTCCCCCCCCCCCCNCCGCTCGATCGAGAAACGAAAATCGCGCTGCGACGCGCGTTCGGTGACGCGCGATTTCAGGTGGCCATTTGTTTTTGCATGCGCGTGAAGTTGCCCCGATTTGTAAACACACAGTCGCGCGGGACCTTTAAAGTGCGCTTTCGCGCGATGTTTTTCTCTCTCTCTCTCTCTCTCTCTCGTTGCAAACATCCCGCATACCCACCTTCCGTTTTCTTAGGTGTTCTTTTTCGCCTCGTTTTGCTCGAGCTTTCAGAACGCACGACACACATCCGTCTGTCTGTTCATCCGAGTATCATCGAACTGCGCCGATGCTGCGTCACGTTTGAAACATTTATAAACGATCCGGTCGTTCCGACAATTTTATGACGAAAATCAAATTATCGTTTTATGATCGTTGTTACTGTCGCGCGCGTTACATTCAGCGGGGCGTGTTTCGTTGATTCGCGGTGCGCTCGCGAAAATCGAGGAACTCCGCATAATTTGCATTAATTTACAGCGTGCGCGGCAAGATGCGTCGCATCGAATTGCATTTTCGACATTCGACGATCGATAGCCCGTACTTCCTGTTGACGGTCGCGAAAATTATATCGCGAAACGCTTCTGTGTCCTCATAAAAAAGTCTACTCCCCCCCCCCCTGTGTGTACGTGAAATTTCGGCGACAAATTGAAATTCAAATCGCACCGACAACGATTCTCAGCGACGGGGGGGAAAGCTATGCTCACCGATGGTACTTATCGGACGGGGCTGTCTATCCGAAGTATCACGTCGTGATTCGCAACTCGCAATTGCAAAGCTTATTCTCTCATCTTCGGGTAAGCTTCTGCACTTCCGTAAAAATGAACAATTTCCACATTCTCATTGTGCATTTCGCGTTAATAATGTAACCGTATGATGTTGAAATTTATTTGTCTCGCACAAAGATTACGTACAATATGTTGCATAAAGTTGGTAAAAAGAATTTACAAAAGTTATAGCTTCGGAACTGTTTAGGAAATCAAGTTTTCCAGCTCGTGTCATTATCATGTAATGATACAAGTGCACGAAAAATTGAATTAATCACGCTCTCGCAAGCAAGCTGCCCCCCCCCCCTCCCCCCTTCGGTGTTTCTCTCAATAAGATCGAAAATGGGCGCATAGCCGACCGGATGAGGAATCAGTGGCGAAACAAGGCACTTATGAAGAGAGGGTACATCGGGCGTTAAGGGAGGTAGACTCGCGCGGGGTAGTGAACAGGACGGAAGAATCAACGCGCGCGTGTGCGTGTGTACGTACGGTACGTACGCGCGCGCGAGCCGGCGCAAGCGCGTTCTCGCCGAAATGGAATAGTATGACCGAACTCGAACGAGAAAAGGGAAATAGCGACGGGGGGGAGGGCGAAGGGAATGAGATGGTGTGGAGGCAGAGGAGGAGAAGGAAGTTGAGAGGGAAGGGAACGTCGAGGGGGAGAAGAGGAAGTGGGGAGGAGGGGGAGGGGGGGATAGAGAGGCGAATGCGGCGTAGGGAACGGGCGGAAAAGGGGGCGGGGGTCCAAGGCGTTGCTTGCTTAATTACTAAAAGCT